TAACATCGAGAGGCTAGTACAGGATAGAGAAAGGTGGGAAGACATGGAATAACATCGAGAGGCTAGTACAGGATAGAGAAAGATGGGAAGTGTTTGTTCGTGGCTTATGTCCTGATCCAGGGTGAGAAAGTGTTTGTCCGTGGCCTATGTCCTGATCCAGGGTGAGAAAGTGTTTGTTCGTGGCCTATGTCCTGATCCAGGGTGAGAAAGTGTTTGTTCGTGGCCTATGTCCTGCTGACTGACTGATGATGTAATGATAAAGAGCTGTGAAATGACCAAACTTTTATGTCATAAAAAGACTACACACTACATAGGCCTACCATCGCTTGACTCATCTGTGTCAACATACTACACACTACATAGGCCTACCATCGCTTGACCATTGCTTGACTCATCTGTGTCAACATACTACACACTACATAGGCCTACCATCGCTTGACCATTGCTTGACTCATCTGTGTCAACATACTACACACAACACACAAGACACAACACACCCACGCCTGACTCACCTGTGAGGAAGTCCGCCTGACCCCCAATCACATGTAGCAGACGAGACACGCCCCCTTCCCCGGTCGCTGACGGCTCCACCTGGGGGAAGTAAGGACATCTACTTTAGCAATAACAACATATGTAACGACACCGACAACACAATTAGGAACAAGTTAAACGGCAAGCTTTTCAATGTTCTATGCCTGAAAGTAGTGAAAGCAAAATTTTTCAGACGAGAGAAAAAGCCATTTCATTCTTTCAAAAATTATACCTTTAATATTAATGTTATGATGTATCTTATCCTGCTTTTTGGGGTATGTAGAACTTAAATTTCAACAAAATATTTCATAAGTACACTCAGGTACCTCAGATTTAGAAAACACTGTACCAGTAAATAAAAATATTCCAAACTTTGGGCTTAACCCTATCCGTACGTCCTGGGGTCATTTTGTATCCCCGGGGTTGTATTCTTCACATTTTAGAATACTTCTAATACAAAGCTCTCTTTGAAGCTTTCAGTATTTCTCAAAAAAACATTTGACAGACTGCTATGCAAAGTGTACGGATCGGATTAACAAGTTAATTTCCATTTTGGAAATTGGTGGCACGAAGTTCCCACGTCGTATGAACACAAAAGTAAAACAGGACGTACAGATACGGTTAAACGGCAAGCTTTTCAATGTTCTCAGCCTGAAAGCAAAATTGTTCAGGCAAGAGAAAAAGCCGTTTCATTCATTACAAAATTATACCTATATTCTATATTATGATGCATCTTATCCTGCTTTTTGGGGGATGTAGAACTTCAATTTCTCCGGCACACTCAAATACCTCAGATTTTGGAAACTGCTAGATCTAAATCTATATTTAAAAAATATTCCAAACTTTGGGCCCCGTACACCTGAACAGCTGATGGATGAAACGAGATGTTTTCAGAGACTATCTCACCTCCTGTACCGTCCCGGCTGCACCATCCATCCTGTGTGCGGAGAGTTTGAGGATCGAGTCCCGCTGAGAGAGCAGCCACAGCACACAGCCGCTGACAGACATGCTCAGCACGAGGCCCTCAGCGCTGAGTGAGGTGAGGAGGCTGAGGGAGGGCTGAGAGATGTCTGTGTCGGGGTCTGGCGACGGTGGGGGATAGGTCAGCTGGTAGATCAGGACCTGGGGCGATCTGTGGGGGAGGGGGGAAGGTGGCGAGGGGTGTGGGTGGGAGAGGGAGAGGGAGGGAGAGTGGAGGATGGGAGAGAGAGATGGGAAAATTACACAATATGTGTGGGAGATATATATATAGATAGATAG